AGACTCCCTGCTCAAAGCTGATTCCCTCTGTGCTATAAGGACTGCACAAGCTGGCAGGAAAGTGCTGTGTGTCCTGAAAGGCTGCTAACTTCGGCCAGAGCAAGTGCGTCAGCAAGAACAAGATTATGGGCAGGCAAAATGGGATGCTCAGTGCAATGCCACAATTCCGGTCCCTAACACGAGCTGCCACACAGCTTGCACTAAGCTTCGCGCTTCTTGGGCCCCTTGGATACCCACACAGTTAAGGGCAGGAGTTAGACACCCGAGCGCCAAAGCTGAAATCAAAGCAGGGGCACCGTGAAGCCATGAGGATTTACTCTTTATAACGCCCCGCGTCTCTGCACCGCGGCGGTGGGGTGGTGGTGGCTGGTCCCCAAGGGTGTTTGCCAGCCCAGGGCCGGGGGTTTGGCTTTACGTGCTGCCAGCACAGGCTGTCTCCTGTCTCCACTTACCCTCACAACTGGTACAAAGCTGTGGCATGGCAGAGGCAGGCGCATTCTATGGGCCAGAGCCACGCTGCGCTCAATAATTTTCAAAACTCCAGTATTTTCTGTATGAATCTGTATTTTCTGTATGTATCTGGATAACCATCCTTTAATCTGTTATCGCTATGAGTTTCTGACCTGTGTGTTAAGCCAGACCTGCGTAAACAAACGAGCAAAACATCCTTTTCCTCTGAAGTCAGCAATAAGCAAAGTTCTAGAGGTCTACATCGTGCTGCTCAGAGCAGCAGAAACTGTCAATGTGAACGTGCAGAGTTGCAGCGTGGAGGGAGAAAGATGTCATGAAATTTGGCATCTGATTCTCTACTAAATCACAGGGCAATAGTTCAACAACTACCACAAGATGTCATTATTATATGCAGTTTGTTCCTCTTTACAGGACATTAAATAAGAGACCTCTGGCAGAACAGAAATGTCATTTCCCTCCCAGTTCAAACGCCAGATAAAGTTGGATGTGCCATTTCAACTTGTTTGGGGAGCTGGGTCAAAGGCTGTCAAATAGCTTCAGTCCAAAACAATTTGGCCATGGGAATCTGTCCTTCCAAGCTGCCACATGAAGGCAGCTAAGTCTGTCACCAGAAAGTTGCATCTGAGTAGACCTGGAAGAGCCCCAGCCTGGCGCTTCCCCTGACCCCCGTGGCTTGTCTCCCGGGGAGCGGGTGTTTGTTCTCCCTGACTTTGTCAAGCTCCCTACCTGCCGAGGGCACTGCGCACTGGTTTCCTCCGTGGTGTGGTATTTCTGCAGATTTGGCTCAGTTAAAGCAAAAAAGCTCTTTTCTATCAGAAAAACACCCACAAATTGTTCACGTGCATTACGACACTGGATGCACGCATCTCCCTCGCTGACGTGGCAGGATAAATACATGAATATTTAACATCACCTTTTGTAGGAGCGAGGGTGTCAGGAGAAAGGCTTAGGGAGCCAGGTGGAAGCCTGGATGCAGGTTTCCCAGAGGTGCTCTGTTTTCACGCGCTGCCATTTCTGTCTGAAAGCCTCTTTCCCACTGTAATAAATGATTTATCACGCATTCCGCAGGGGAGCGAGTTTCTCTTCTGCTTGTCTTTACTCATACATTCAGAGCCCGCCCGGACGATGTCCTGTGTAACCTGCTCTAGGTGAACCTGCTTTAGCAGGAGGGTTGGACTGGATGATCTCCCGAGGTCCCTTCCAACTCTTGCCATTCTGTGCGATTCTGTGATTTCCTTTACTGACTTAATGTGTTTTCAAACCCGTGTGGTGATTTAATACTAGCACGTGCTATCGGCGTGACCGGTCTCTCTCAGGTGCCAGCGCATGGGCATGGCGGAGGCCTGTGCTCCCTCTTGCAGCCCCGTGCCTCCGTGGCAATGCTTTGCTATCCCCAATTCTCATTAGCCTGAGAACAGAGTGAGGGGAAGAGAGGCTGGG